GCAGACTTTTTTGGGGGGATTTTCCCAGGGTCTCTGGTCTGCAGGATTTAAAATTATGAGTTTGGTGGTCCCTGGGGTCCAAAAGGTTGGTGACCCCTGCTTTAGTGTTTCCGACATTAACAGTAATGCTGTAGTTACAGCAGGTAGCCAGATCAGACAATCTTGGTTAATCCCAAAGAAGCTAATCAGGATTGGGCTTGTTAACTCTTGGATGGGAGCAATTAGGAAAGCTAGGAGAAAACCGTCTCAGAAGGAAAAACCTTCTGGTTACCAAGACCAGGTGGGTGTGATCGGGAAGGGCGGGGGGAGTTTTCTTGCTGAAAAAGCACCATTTTACAAAGGACAATTCTGATGGAACTTTATTGGCATAACACCTTTGGTTATTTTTCAAATCTGATTTATCCAAACATCACCCCAGATTTCATAACCAGAGAGGTCGAAAAAGTGGAATCTGCTTGCCTGTCCATAGGAGAGAAAGCTACTTCAGCAGCTTGAGAGCAGCATTGAAAGGCGCCAGATTCTCACAAGACCGGAGCCATTTCTGCACGTTGGCTGGGACGGCCTCCGTGCCCCCTGCCTGCTGAAGGGCGCACCAGGTCACGACATCGGCTACCGTCAATTCGTTGCCCACCAGCCAGGAAGTCTTGCCGAGGGTCGCATTCATGCCCCGCAGAACGGCTGCCTTTTCTTTATTGCTTCCTCCTTGGAGTTGGAAGAGGGCGGTGTCCACCCAGCTGTCTATCAACGTGGCGGCGATTGTGTTGTGCTTTGCGCCGAGCAAGGAGAATAAGAACCTAGCAATGTTCCCTTCGCCTTCAATGGGGCACATGGTTTGAATGCTGAACTTCATCTGGGGTTTTGGCACTGGAAGGATAATCCCAATGTAGGATTAGACACCGAGGACGCTTGGAGAGCTGGTGGATACAGGTAGCCCTTGACTTACAGCCACGATGGAGCTCAGCGTTTCTGTGGCTGAGCAAGGCAGCAGGACAGTGACTTTGGCCCCATTTTGTGGCCTGCCTTGCCACAGTTGTTGAGTGAGTCACTGCAGTTCTTAAATTAGTAACACAGTTAAGTGAATCTGGCTTCCCTGTTGACTTCTCAGAAGGTCATAAAAGGTGATCACATGACCCCAAGAGACTACAGCCAGTGTCCAAATTTTGATCATGTGACCATGGGGGTGCTGCAATGGTTATAAGTGTGAAACGGTCATGTCACTTTTTTCAGAGCCCTTGTAACTTCGAAGCGTCACTAAACAAATGGTTGTAAGTCAAGGACTTCCTGTATTCACCATTCCTTCTCTCATGTTTTATGATATCTCACGTAGTTAGAGGAGACATTTTCCTGGCTGCCAGTCTTAGAAGATATTGCCCGGCAAGTAACAAATACCCCCAAGCAAGCAACAAATCTACCTTCAAGTACCTCCCCCCCTTTTCCATCTTACATCAGATTTATTTAAAATATACAGCCACACAATTCCAAGCAGGGCCCATCCAATCAAGACCCATTCTCTTATTAAGAAATGAAATAAAGATGAAGGCTTAACTCTGTAAGCATCTATTAATAAGTGCACACGGACTTACCATCTTTCCAAATTAAAGTAACGCCCAACTGGTATTCGTGACGCGATTGTTTCTTTGCCTGCTCACCAAAGCATTTGAGCAGCTTTTCTGGCACGTTTTTCACAGATGAGTGTGTGTGAACAGTTGAAAGTATCTTGTACTTCTCACACAGCATACTGTGGAGTATTAATAATGAGAGTGGAGGGAAAGTGGGGTTCGCGTTGATCACGATGTCCTTCAGAGCACCATAATCCTGCTTTAAAACAAATTTGATTTCATTGAGCTGTTAGGAGATTTTCACTTTATTCTAAAAGCTTTTCCACATAGTTTTAACATCCTGCAGGGTTTTTGTTTTTTTTAGTACTGTTATCTTTCCATAAATTAACTGCACTGCAGTTCTACACTGCCTATTCATTGTCCATAATGCTTAAACTAGCTGTGGAGTAGAAATGGGATAAGTGACATGAGTAGCTCTCATAGGTGACAAAAGATGAACCAGATATTATATATGTCAGTTGAGAGCTTAAAAATGCTAGGCCTCTAAGAACATTACAAGAAAAAACATGGATTTCTGTCCTAAACAGATGGTGAACTGGATCTGGATTTAGTTATAGAAATTAATTGTACATTATGACCACATTTGAACACATCCTATAAACACACACAGTAGTTAGAATATGAAATAATGCTAAGCAATATTTTCCAAAATATTCCAAATCATACATTTGTTTATCAGTACCCATTAGTCACTGGCAATTACTATTGATAGAAACTGAATAATTAGGCGACAATATTCTGCAGAGGTTGGAACTGTGCAGAAAATCTGTTCCAACTTAAGATATTCCAAGCCATCAGAAACAGATGAGACTCAAATGACACTCCCAAATAAAGGAGGAGGAGCTAGTTATTTTTACTTGGCTAGCTATTAATATACAAAGTGGCATTTATCACTAACAGTTTCATTTAAATAGCTTTTTGCTCCTGCTAGCTGACGTAACTGTTTGCAAACAATTAAAAGCAAACAAGTTCCTCTCATTTTTAAACAATTAAGTATATCTTCTATTTCCTTAAAAGCCCTGAAATTTAAACCTGGCATCAGTGTTGGCTTGGGACAAAATTACAGTATATTGCTATTTGGCTGATACTTTTGCAATATAACTTTGGAGAATCACTATCGCCCCAAAGGTGCAACTGGACTTAGTTTTTATTTATTTGAAGATGTTTTGCTTCTCATCCAAGAAACTTCTTCCATTCTTCAGTCAGAACTGGAAGAAGCTTCTTGGATGAGAAGTGAAATGTCTTCAAGGAAAAATAAAATCCAGTTAGTTTTTGAAAAAGCACCTTTGGGACAACCATGACCTGGATGACTGAGAATTTCCATAGATATCACTAAATGTACGTTTGGCCAGATTGCAACTTATTTGTTGCAACAAAAAAAACCACACCAACTTTTGCTAAACCATTCAGTAGGCAGAATGCAAACAGTTCAGAATCCGACTTGCCTTCCCAAGCAGACTATCGAGTTCTGCAGAGCTGACAGTTAGAGAAACAGGGTCATCTGTTTGAATTATGTTAGTGGCATCGAAGTCCGCATCTGGTGTCTGGATCATTTTTGAGAGCCCATCCACAGCAGCTTTCAATTCATACAAACGTTTCAAGATCTCTTCCTGGCGGAATTCAAGCGCTTGGAGTGATGGGTCAACTTCATCCTGAATGAAAATTAAGTTAGCATTCACTCCGTTTTGCATTGTGTCAGAACAAAACCAGGTATTCTGGCTATCCCTTTTTATATGCCATTTATATATATTTATATATTTATTTATATAAATATATATATATATAAACCTATATGTTTCTAGACCGCCCATCTCCCTCAAGGAGGGGCTGTTGGCAGTGATAAGTCAATGGGTTTCAATAAAGGAGAATATTTGTAGCTCAGGGTTGACATGAGGGGTCCTTGGTGCTCTCTGAGCTTGTTTACTTTTTGCACACGTTTCATTACCCAAACTAGGTAACATCATCAGTGCTAGAAAGAGTAAAATTTGCAGGGAGTAGGAGGAAGGGAGTAGGAGGAAGAGGAAGCAGAACTGTGGGGTCCTTGGTGCTCTCTGAGCTTGGTAGTTTTCTTGCAGACTTTCACTCCCCAAATTAGGTAATATAATTACCATCATAACATCAGTAGTACTGATGATGTTACCTAGTTTGGGTAATGAAACGTCTGCAAGAAAACTACCAAGCTCAGAGAGCACCAAGGACCCCACAGTCCTCCTCCTCTTCCTCCTCTTCCTCCTCTTCCCTGAAAACTCCACTCTTTTTAGCACT